ACCGATGACCTCCGCGGCTTTAACGCTCGACCATTAAAAATTCAATATATATTTGTCGACGTCATATCGTTGCAAGCCAGTTTCTCGCCGCTGCAAATTCGCTCTCCTTGATTGATTACTGGCTTGTCAGCTGGCCAACATTTTCCGTTTGTCAGAAGTCACATGCGCCGTTTTATACTTATCTGCCTGCGTCTAACAAGACGCTTTTACATATAACGGGAATCCCCGGCTCTAGAAAAGTATATTTACACTTCTGTTGCCAATATATACATATATAATTATTGCTTTATATTGTATACGTATACGTATATATATATAAAATTTATATCAAATATTTTATGTTTTTATAATTTTTTGGGGCATCTATATTCTATACTGAAAAAAAATTTAGTTAATTCTTATAAGTATTTAGTTCAACTAAATAATTTATTTGAAACTAAATAATATTTATTTGATATGAAAAATATTTATTTGATATAAGAAAGTTCTTTTCAAAACAAATAAATATTTTTTTGTTTTAAATGATTTATTTGAACGTATTGAACTAAATATTTGTTAATTTAACAAATTTCTTTTTTAGTGTATTTAAAACATTTAAAGAGAATTATAAATTTTTAACATAGTTTTTAATATATTTCAAAATTGATTTAATATATTTTTAAAATTATTAAAATTTTTTTACTATATATTTTAATAAAATTAATTAAACATATTTTATATTGCCGTAGATATTAATATTTTTATGTGATAAATATTAATTAGAGAAATTCTTCCAATACTATATTGTCCTACGATTACTATGAATTTCAGAATGAATTATAAAGAAAATTCTTCCTGTATATTCTAATATTATATTCGATAACAAGGAAGTGACGATGACAAAATCGTTAACGATTAAATTTTCCATGGTCAATTCCGCTTGACTGACGTATAACCCTGCGATAGACGTAATAGTTCAACAGAACATAAGGAACGAACGATCGATCATGCATTTCCATGAGCGTGACGCGCTGCATCGGATTACGTTGTTGGCTTTTATAGCCAGGCATGTAAAATCACCCAGCAGGCACGTATAGAACGACAAACGTAATAATCTGATCTGTCGCCAGGAAAATTATCGGAGTGACAATTCCGCGCGCGCGTCCATCTGTCTACTTGCGATTAAGTGACTTATACAAACCGGAAAGGTGCTAATCTCATTAGCATAGCTCTTTGTACGGAGTCCGGTATATATTAACCTTCGACACACGTGATCGCTTCGGTATTTTTACTGACACGCCTATATCAGATGGATGAGATTACAGTAGAAAAGTGCACAGTTAAAAAATTTGTTTTTAACAGATATATCACATGTCTCAAACGGTCAAATTTTTGTGTTAATTTAACATATTATGGATATATGTTAAATGGGGACACAAATATTGTGTTAATATTTTAATACAAAATAAATGCAAAATTTCAAGCAATTTAAAATAAATTTTGTCTAAAATTAATATAGTTTTAATGTAAAAATTAACTAAAAATATGTTAACTTTAGATTTTATCATCCTCGCTTATATTATAAAATAAAAAAAATCAGCATTTTTTTCTGTAAATTAGTAGATAAATCTTGTTACTAATGAAACAAAACATATTTATTGTGTGACATTAAAAATAGATGCACATTATGTTATTTTTACATCTTTTTTCAGTTGTTTTAATAATTTAACACTAAGGGGATCCTTTTCACGATTATCTGTTTTATTGACATAGTTGTATATTTTCGTACTTCTAGGATTTCTCTGCATTAATTTGTCAGAATATAAAATGGTTCTCTACAATTGCAATAAATGCATCAATAATCCCAGGGAATCTCGATTTTATATGAAAAATGAGAAATAACAGTTTTCCTTACCTGTTTTCATCTCGATAAGACATCTCTAATTGCAGACGAACTGTCAACCTCATCATAATATGTGCTTTATAACAAACATTCCCTGGAATTAGGGGACATGAAAGAAAGCACTGTTATCCTCTAAATCTGGATTAAAAGTTTAATAAAAATGTGTTATTAGAAATACGATTTGTACGTATGTGTGCGTGCATTGTGTATACGTGCATATGTTTTGGATATGTGTGCTGCTATTTTGTCGGAGTTCGTCAATTGTTGAGAGATCCCCAAGTTCAATTAACACAGCAGCAATATGTTAAATTAACACATGAAATTTAACACAAAAATTTTAACAGGAACCGTTTTTAACAAGAAAACACAAATTTAACAAAACACAAATAAACAAAAAATTTTAACAGGAACCGTTTTTAACAAGAAAACACAAATTTTCCTAAGAAACCAATTCATTGCGTTGCGAAAAAATTTCTCTTTGATCTGCTTGTTTAAAATAATAGTTGTTACGAGACGTAAAACCTTTAATTTGATGAGTCTCGTTAAAAATTTTTATTGTTTGTTTCTAGTTTTTGTGTGTGGATAACTAACTCTTTCTCTATTTGTTATGATTTTCATTTTGATTCATTTTTGCGTTATATTTATAGCGTAAATGTTTATATATTGTTTATTCATACGAATAAGAGAAAATAACGCCAACGTACAGTGGATATACGATAATCTAGAAATATATATTACCTGTTTCTTTCTAATTATAAATATTCTAATTATAAACTATATATTCACTGTGAACATTATAAAAAATATATTGATATTCAATATCAGTATATAGTTTTGTCTATTTATAATCATATCTTTCTAATTATAAACAAACTTTCTATTTATTTAAACCAATTTTGTATTCAGTTATGACTTTAATTAAATCTCATATCAATTTTTATTTTTATCTTAACATTTTTACGTTTAATTGTGCATAAAATTGATATCTGTTATATGTGATGTCACATATATGTATTTTTTTTTTTTTTTTTTTTTTTCGACATAAATTGTTTTTTTTTATAAGAGTTTTTATTATCGAGATAATCTCTCATCCGCGGATTAGATATAAATCTTAAGAGCCGGTTCTTTGATTTTCTTTTCACTATCTCATTTCATTTCCGCAGCTTTGTTCTCCGCATATATTTTTAGATTAGTCACTAATTGTAAGTTACAAAAACGCAAATCATCCTCTTTTGTCTTATTACTAATTTCATTTTATGTCTCCTTTGCATCACAGTAAATATTTTAACTAAAATAAAAAGTATCAAACTCTTTTAAGAGTTGAGCATTTTGATATAACTCTTAATTTCATTGTGATTTTATCAATTATTTTAATTTGAAAAGAATAAGAAGTGTCATATATATATATATATATATATATATATATATATATATATATATATTTTAAGAACTCGATTTATATGTATAGTCCTAATCTAGTTTTAATCTCTCGCGTCACAATAAATATCTCAATTTTAAACAAGAGACCCCGTACTCTCTTATGAGAGAATAACGTGCGCTTTTAATATGATAATATTGCGCGTTTATATAAAAGTGTTATTACTCATTTCCATAATGCCGCATAAATTGAACGGTATGTTAAGCATGCGATTTATGAAATCACATGAGATATGAATGAATCGCTTCTGTCGCTTAAAGATGACATATTGCTCATCTCTGACATACCTAAATGTATAAGTGACACCGACTATTTCAGGTTCCCACCACATCACAATAGATGTCTGCGGTAATTCCTATAATTGTCTGAGAAAAAAGATCGTGCACTCTTCAAAAGGGCACACAATTACGAGTCCATTTAAAAGCCATGTATATGCATGTATTGTAGTTACGTGCTCGATCGCTGATCAATTTTGAATAGCAAGCTATTCAGTATAATTGACCAATCAGTATTATACTATCAATAACTTATGTGTTATTCACCTTCATATATAGTAGAAAATATTTCTTATTGTATATGATGTATACTTGAATGTAAAATCCTAATCGAACCGGAAAATCTTAATCGATGTAATAATTGTAATGTAAGAGGGTCATAAGCGATCAAAAAAGATGAATTTTTTTGCAAATTAAACTTTTGCCAAGTGTAAATAAAATTTAATTAAATTTAAAATCTTAATTTAGCATTATTAATTAATAAATAAAATTTTTAAAACAAACACGACTATAAATAACGGAATACATTTTATGAATTAAATTTACATTGATTTTATTATTCCAGAATTTTAATTAAAAATTTAGATAGTTTAATATCGAGTGTCGAGAAATAGTTTTAAAGGCGATAAATACAAACTTATAACTGTCTTTTAAATAGTACAAATACTTATGACATCATCGCTATCTAAAGTTTGTATTTTTTTTCATCGCTTATATCTCTATTTTTAATTTATTTTTTGATACCATTAAATCATATATGTTTATCGGAAATACCTAATAGTTGGATGTTTAGCAATTATCATATTAGTTATATAAATTGCTATGGATGTCCTACAGTATGTTAAAGAAAAAAGCACAAAAAAGACAAAAATATTTTATCTAGGAAAATCCCTATAATGACATCGGTCTTGCATAATAAACATAATCGCAAGCTGAAACAAATCGTTACCTGCTAGAGCTACGATGATATGCACGAAATTGAAACGTGATATGAAATACTGATACGAGTGACTGAATTATGATTTCGAATCTAGCAAGTCATTTATCGGGATCTTCAATAAATTCGCTCGCCGTACTCAGAAAAACATTATACATACAATAACGATTATTTAAATTTAATTTATTTTTAATACATTTAATATATTTTATAATATCAATATATCTCGCAATATATTAATATATATTTAAAATAATATATTAAATATATATATTAAAATTTCTTTAATATATTAAAAATAGTTATTTTTTCTACGGCATAGTATTATATAATAAAAAAATTATTACGTTGCATTTAATTTATATATAAAAACATTTTGTTATTTATTTTTGTAATTTAAACATTTCTGAAAATTTTTAAAATAAGCGTGTTGTGTACTAAATTGCGTATCATTTGCATTATGTGCAGGTCTTGCATGACTGTGCAAAAGCACGGAGAGAAGTCGAGCTTCACTGGAGAGCATCTAATTGTAGGCACATAGTTCAAGTAAAAGATGTATACGAAAATACCTACAGTGGAAATAAATGTCTGCTGGTAGTTATGGAATGGTATGTATAAATATATTATTTTTTAATGTTACTACGATTATTTATTTAGTAATTCGTTAAATTTATTTCAATTTTTTTAGTATGGAAGGCGGAGAGCTATTTCAAAGGATACAAGATAGACAGGATGGCGCCTTTACTGAAAGAGGTATAGCTTGACATTCAAAATTTATCAAAACTTGTTATTTTTAGAAATTATACAGATTATATATATATATATATATATATATATATATATATATATATATATATATATTGCAGAAGCTGCACAAGTGATGTACGAGATTTGTGTCGCGGTAAAACATTTACACGACATGAACATTACTCATAGGGATCTAAAACCTGAGAATCTTTTATATTCTAAACCAGGTAAATTATAATATATACTTTGAAAATATTAGTTTGGTTATTTGTTTTTCCAAAATTTTCAAAACAACTTGAAAAGATTAGCTTACCATATTTTATAAGCTTAAGAGAGTTATTAATATCTGTAAATTTTAAAGTTTATGATTGCAAAAGTATTGCTTTTTTAATTTTAATATATTTATTCTGAAAGACTAATAGATAAATAGTGTCGCATATAAATGAATTATATACTGTTATGTTATATGTTGATTTTCAGATAGCACTGGAATTCTGAAACTCACCGACTTTGGATTTGCCAAAGAAACACATTTAAAAGACACGTTACAAACGCCATGTTATACACCTTATTATGTCGGTAGGTTTGCACGTTTCACTATATGCATAAATTTGTGCGTTTTAAACTAAAATCAATAATTCGTTTTTATTATTTTATTTTTAATAATAAAGTATGTCAAGACCGCCAGATGGAATTAAAAAATAAAAATACACAATTTCCTTTCAACAGTACTAGCAAATAATTTATTGAACAAAATTGCAATTCACTTGAAAAGGAAAACTATGGTCGAAAATTTTATAACTATGGTAGTAAATTTTGTTCAATAAATTATTTGCCAGTACGGTTGAGAGGAGATTGTGTATTTTTTATCTTATTTTTAGCTCCGGAAGTTTTGGGACCAGAAAAATATGACAAGAGCTGTGATATTTGGTCACTGGGAGTAATCATGTACATATTGTGAGTATATATTTTTATATATATTTAATTTTTTTTTTATTACTGTCTTTTTTAATTATACAGAATACAATTATTCTCATTAATGATTCTTATTACTTTGTTTATACATTGAAATTGAAAACCTGCATTTGTAACGTTATCACTATTTTTAGATTGTGCGGATTCCCGCCATTCTACAGTAATCACGGATTAGCGATCTCGCCCGGAATGAAAAAAAGAATCCGATTGGGACAATATGATTTTCCCTATCCAGAATGGGCGAGCGTAAGCCAGGAAGCGAAGAATCTTATTAAGGGTATGCTGTGTATTGATCCAGCGGAAAGACTGCAGATCGACGATGTGATGCGCAACAATTGGATCTTCGTAAGAACACATTTTACAATCAGTGTTGTGCTTAGATGATTTTAAAAGATAAAGATGAGATAAGAATTTATAAAATTTTATATAAGATGAAGATAATTTTGTTTTAAATATATCTAGATAAAAAGGTAAAATTATATGGCGATTTATCTAGATAACTTTCAGATAATATTATTTTTAAAGTTAAGAGTTTAACACGGCTTTGTAATATAAATATAAATTTAAAGTGTAAGACAGGCAATAAGAGCCAATCGCGGAAGACAGTGCGTTATCCTAACGAAACTAAATTTTTCTCGTTAGAATTAAATATCTGTGCACAAGTCACCAAATTTTACTTGGTCACGGCCAAGATTTTTTAAAATATGAAATAATCTCATTTTTGAGATTTAATTTCAAATAATCCTTTAACCCCCCTACGGAAATAAATAAATTATTTTTAAAGGTACTTTTTTTATATAAACACAATTATTAAAAAAATGTAAATTATGTGTGTGAAAGGAATTTAAAAAATATATTTATATTATTATTTGTAAATTATTTTGCTTACTGCTCAAGTTCTACTATTTAAGTATTTTTATGTCTTATGACTCCAAACCAAAGTATCTGAATATTATTCCAAATTTAATAAAGATAACACTTTTTATCTAAGATGCAGATCATAGATAATACATATTTTTATTATCTTATATAAAAATAAAATGACGCCAAAATTTTATTTAGATGATTATTTATATGATTTGATTTAGATAACAGCAAACACTGTCTACAATATACACAATTTTATGCAAAATTCTCTTTATATTTCTCTTTATAAAATTCTCTTTTTTAAAGTATACACTTTTTATCCAGAAATATACGGAAGTGCCTGCTACTCCCTTACACACCGGACGCGTTTTACGCGAGGGAGAGGAAATGTGGCCAGAAGTACAGGAGGAAATGACGCGATCATTGGCGACGATGCGCGTCGATTACGATACGGCATGTCTAAAGCAACTTGATCATACGAACAATCCTCTGCTGAATAAACGAAGACGTGCGAAACAATCCGCGAACAACGCGACGGTCCCGCCGACTGCCAGTCCTACACCCGCCTCCTAGGAAGAGGATAGTGCCAGAACTAGACGGAACTGGATCTTTTTTCTACGGAGATGCGTCAGATACAGCATGGTCGTAACGAGGATCATTCTCTGACTGTTGCATTTTACGAAGCGAAAAAATTTCCGGAGTAGAATAGTAATATCAAAAGGCACTTAATCGTAGATTACATGCACTTCTTTACACTTATTAGCGTTTGATCTATTAAGAGTGCAGAATTTTATTAGAGCAAAAACAATAAGACACAACAAGGACAATATTGCCCCAACGAATGTAAGTAAATGCGATGCCTTTTTAATTACCGAACGATATCACAGTCATTCTTGACTAGAAAAGACCTATATAAAGATATATATATATATATATATATATATATATATATATATATTGTTCTGTGAGAGAAATATGCTACATTAATCAATTGTAGAATTAGGCAAACACACATATATATATATGTGTGTGTGAAAGATAAATAATGTTATTGAGTACTAATATCATAATGTTTATGATTAGCTCGATTTTCATCAGAAATTAAAATCATTAATTGAATGTAGTGACCTTTAAAGGCATTTGAGAAAGTTGGCCGAATTACTAGATGGTATTGCTGAATGTGTGTTGAATGTACCTCTTCATTCAAATTTTAAACTTGATAAATCATAGCACAGAAAGTATTTAATAATGAAAAATATTATTTTTTCTTAATAAAACCTATCTATTATTATTCCTCCATCACATATCTATTTAAAAGAAAGAATAAAGTAAAAACTCGTTATTTAGAAAAAAATCAAGAAATATATTTTCAAGATTATATATATATATACAGTGTCCCAAAAAGATCGGAACACTGAAAAATCTTGAAAAGTATACGTTTTACAGAAAAAAGACAAAAGTTGTAGGGTTTAAAAAAATCTATTTACTGATTTTGACCTTGTACGGCATTATTAAGATCAGAATAAGGTCACCTTGAATTTCTTAAATGGAACCCTATATTTTGTATTACATATTCTTGTAGCTTACCTCGAGAGCTTTTCAAAACACTATAATTAAGTTATTTTTTATACGGTACTTTTCGAATTACAAGGCTTGAAAGTTATATTACCTAACCGCCGGCATTAGCGTTATTTAAATGGGAAACTCGTATTTTTTACTCCAAAAATCGGATAAATCGATCATTTTACCTGTTTTGACGTATAGTCATGTTACGAGTCAACGTATTCCTAAGGTTATTTGAAAATCGAACTTATATTGCTTAAGATGAGTTGCTGAATAAATCATTATATTATTAAAACGAAATCTAATGAAAGCCCATTGGTTTTTAGGGGTCACACTTGAAAATTCAAAGTACTTCTACAATGTAGTTAGAACTACATAATTATAATTAGATGTACAAGAATGTTGTACGTTTTGTATGATATCACAAACTAATTATTTATCGCAACTGAAAAATCTTGTCGTATAAACGTCATTATTGTTCATGGTTGTGATCTCTTGAATTAATGAAGGTTTTTCCTCAACATCCTTACATACAGACTCTTTCTTCCATTCGTCTTCATTTTTGAAATTTGTTAGAATTGTAATTAAGACAAGCCTTTCAGAACTGTAACTTTCAAGCTTTGTAACTCGAAAAGTACCTTATAAAAAATAACTACTTATAGTGTTTTAAAAAGTTCTCGAGGTAAGCTACAAGAATATGTAATCAAAAATATAGGGTTCCATTTAAGAAATTCAAGATAACCTTATATTCTGATCTTGGTAATGCCACCGAAAGTCAAACTCATAAGATCAATAAATAGATTTTTTTAAACCCTACAACTTTTGTCTGAAACTTTTTCTGTAAACCGTATATTTTTCGAGATTTTTCAGTGCTCCGATCTTTTTGGGACACCCTGTATGTATATATATATATATATATATATATATATATATATATATATATATATGTTTAATTTTCCGCATCTAACTATTTAAAAGTCAATAAATAATAATTGGCTTTTCTATTTAAATATTAAGAAAGAAAGTCATATTATTGAGAGACGTTATTGAGCCAAATTATTCTATTTGATGTCTGTAAACATACATATATTCTAAAATAGGTGCCGACTTAAAAAGAAGAATTTGTTTTAATTGAAATTATATAATATCTGCAAAAATGTAAATTGATAATATGAAAACTATATTTATTTGTATACTGTTAAGATTAGCTATAAAGATAGTTGTACTCATATACTTATCAATTGTTTTAAAAAAATTTACTTGCTGCCAGTGTATAATCAAATTCGCAATGTCTGTATTTTTCATCGAATTTTCACATATAATTAGGATATTTTTAAAAATATCGTTCTACTCTACTACTCGTCCACAGCTTATTTTATATAAATGTGCATAAATTGTCATAATTATTACTTATTAATTCATCAAAATTTTTTATTTTATCTCTTTTATACTCTAGTGCAATTAATTTATTGAAGAAATTTCATTATTTGTATTCTAATATTGGTCATATTTTGTTTTATATGTTTAATTATGTTAACATATATTTAGACTCTACTTAGAATTTTATGCTTGAAGCTGAGTATATTTAAATGATTTAAATCTGCTCTTTATTTAAATCGCAAATATAATTTTAGTCAAGAACAATCGAGTGCTACAAAACAAATAGATATAGTACTTTAGTACTGTGTCATTAAAAATAATAAATGTGGATTGTATATATTTTTAATCAATATTATTCAAAGTTACTGTCTACGATTGTGTAGAAGAATAGTTAGAGATTCAAAAGATTTACTAAATAGTCTGCAAATTTAGTCAACGAATTTTCAGTATCTTAAAACATACAGCGTGATAGCTTAACAATTATAATACAGTCAATGATTAGATTAAATGAGAAAATAACAAAAGTTTCATGTGCCTATAATTTTAATCAAAATCAAATTGCATTACGAATACATTCTAGAATATTTGCGCACGATAATTATGAAAAAAATATATAGTTATTGTGTAAAGAGAGTAGTAACTTATAATATTTTGAAAGGAAGTTATTTGGTATAAAAAATATCTAGATATATATCTAACATGATATAGATGTATGTATGTGTGTGTGTGTGTGTGTGTGTGTGTGAGATATATGATATATTTATAGAAAATCTACATAGGAAGAGTGATCACAAAATTCCAAATTAAAATATATGCATAAGTTTTTAATTATATAGAGCATACACAATTCCTCGTGTTCTATATTGATTAAATTATATTCGTAAATAATAATGAAGTAGCACAATTCATACATGTTGGTTCAATTTGGACAGTTATACTTGTCAGTAGCAAGATATTTTTATAACGAGTCAAAGATTCATCGGTTAAACTTGCATTTAAAAAAATGGACAATAATTGTGAACAAATTTTTTCACACCATCATTGCTTAATTACTTGTTCAATTGCGCAGTTCTTTTTGTATTATATATAATAAACTTATAATAATTAAATCATATATATTTTTAATGCGTGACAGCGCTGCAAATTTCCATAGGCTATAACATTTACAGAAATATATGTATAATCAAATAATGTTATAATTAAAATTACAAAAAATATTTTATATCTATATTTTTAATATTATCATTTATTCCTCTTCTCCTTACGAAATTTATTCATTCAATCATCTGAAACAATTCCACTATCTTATGCTTTATGATTTATTTGATGTGTTATTAATAGAGGATAATTTAATACGACTATCTACATTATATATATAAATTTGTATGGCCGTTAATTCAACATTATTACTATTATTGTAATTGTTATCAGATTTAATTAAATTCACGATTTATACACTATAGTATCTAATGTCAAAGTCGTATTATTTATGAAATTTTATTGTATATGTAATCACTTTTATGTAATCAACTTTTTATTTTTTGAATTATTAAAGATAATGTTTTTTTATGAGAATTCTTTATATATATTTATATTGTGGTTACATTTATTGATACAGATCAAAATGTAACATTGTTAACGACTTGTTGAATTAGATGTTTATTTCACAATTATATAATTATCATAAAATGAAAAGGTTCTGATACAATAAATACAAAATTTAGGTAGAAAATGTACCTTTGCAAGTCTGAGGTTATTTTTATTTAAGTTTCATCCTTGTCTTTTATTTTCAATTTCTTTTAAAATTGATCAAAAATGACAAGATTAAGATGCATGAATTTTTTGTTAATTAATCTGCTGAACATTATAGTGCGATTTTAAAACACGTTCGCCTAATTTCTACGCCTAACTATTTATTAATCCATTTTCTACCTAACTTTTGTATTTATACAAGTATTGTAATTATCAATTTAAGAGCTCAATTATCAAAATGCAATTAATTATTATAATTATTTCTTATTTAATATTAATTATTAAATGTGTCTTATATAAAAAACGTATACTTTTAAATAAATTATTCAAATAAATCTAAAAAAATGCTCTAATGCATTTTATGGTTAATCCATTTAGAAATAAACACAAAATGTGCGGAATTATTTACGATCGATTTCATTTAAGACTGTACTATATATTCAAGTAACTGTTGTATCGCGCAGATTTCTACAATTATAATTATGCATTACAGCAATATGTGACCATTGAGAAGCACATCCTTTATGCTTTATTATAAATTGTTAAAAAAATCAGTACAAAAAGGAACACAATCAAGTTTTAGTACATATACACACATATATATATATGTATACATATATACACATATACATATAGATATACTTTACACAACGCTCGAGATATTTTTCGCGTGTATTACAATAATTTCGGTAAATCCATATTGCTATTATAATCGAAATACAAATGAGATTAAACTAATATTTAATATATATATGTATATGTTAATAACAAGAGCTTGCCGAACAATAATAAAGAGTAAATGTGCAAATATAAAACTGCTATTAATTAATCAGTTAACCGCATGCAGAACGGATGCGCTAATTAAGTGTCACGGATTTTTTTAACATTTACATAAATAGTACGTTATAAATTATTAAAAATATATAATTTTTTTCTTTTACGTGTGTATACAAGCTACCATTTCATTCTTTCTTTCTTATTACTAATTATTAAATATAAATTTTCCCTGTCATACAAGAAATCTTCAAGTGGTAAGAAATCTTCATGTTCATTATCAATTAGATTTCAATTAAAAAAAAATAAAGACAATTTCATTTATTTAATCATCAGAATTGATTTAATTTCCTGTTTTTTTTCTCTATCACTCACTTTTTTCTAGTAACATAAACTAAAAATATGCAAAGCAATGCATTTTTTATTCAATCTGCACGTAAATTAATGTGGAACTGTACGTCCTAATACATTAGAATTATATTTGTAAGGAAGTAATTTATATATTCTTTACTTGATGATTTGTTATATATATACATACATATATATATATATATATATATATATATATATATATATATATATAACAAATCATCAAGTAAAGAATATATAAATTACTTCCTATATATATATATATATACACACATATATGAAGTGCTAGTAATTCTATCATAGATGTTTATAATGTTAATAAAACAAATTGTTTTTTCAGTTTTACAACAAAAGTATCATATTTTTTTTTGTGTAATATGTATTCCACTTAATTAAGTAACTTTAAAATACAACTTTTTCTAAGTTAGATAATATTGAAAACATTATGTATATGTGCTACAGGCCATATCCACAGATACTGTGCAATTAATGCAAAAAGTATTATAAGCCACCATGCTCTAAAAACTTATCTAAAAGTTTATGCCAAACTATATGTATATGTGTATATATATATATATATACACACACACACACACAGATATATATATATATATATATATATATATATATATATATATATTAATTACAACTCACTGGGCCCTGGAAGTAAAATATTTCTCTGTATACAAGGTTTACAAAATCGCACAAAATGGTAAAATAAGACATCCATTCAAGAAGACACAATGTGATCTCTAAGAATTTGCTAAGAGCTATTGGAATGTAGAGGAATCACGAACTTAGGTCCAAACGGCGATTTATACGTGATGCCAACATCGGAGTACACCTTGTTTGGCAATGCGAGATTACACAGGTACAATCTACCATTGTCGACGCTGTGCGACAACGGTAGAGCACCCAATAGACTAAATTTACTAACAATACCGAGTGTACCTGTTGCCGGAGGTTCGATAGCGAGTATAGGAGCGCGGTTACTGCTTGCCCATTTAGCTATCGGAGTGATTGTCTTCGGTGAATCCTCGTCACAGAGCGCCACAAGTATAAGATCCACCAACGTTGGCAAATTCTTGACTTTAGTTTCTACTTTGTTCTCTGTCAGTCTGTACAGCGATAACTCCTGCAGAAGAAACACGTCCTCCGCGTTTTCCACGAACACGATTGTCTTGACACCGTGACTAGACAACTGTCGGGCGCAATTAATACCTGCAGCGCCAGAACGATGTGGTCCGCACAGCGCAACTACGGTGGGCCACTGATGCGCGTTGTTCGGATTCAGCCGATGACTTCCGCCCAATAGTTGGAGAATAAGTTCAGCACCAGCGCGACCCAGAAGTTCCACCTTTCAAAGAAAACATTGATTGAAACACTTGATAAAGATATAATGAAAAGCTTGAAACATATGAGTAATTAAACAAAAATAATTATCAGAACACTTTGAAAGAAAATTTGTTCTATAAATTATAATAACTTTCTTATCAAAGTAAACCGTCTCAATTTATATTATATGATGTTCTGTAATCTCGATTGTATAAAAATAGATAATTACAAATAATATCAATACAAACCCTACGTTCCCAACTTATTCCCAGTCTATCTGCTGCACCTATCAACTGCCGATGAAGATTAAGAGTGATGCTAGGAATTACTAAACCGTTATCTGTAACATATTCCTTTTCACCAGAGCAAGGCACCACAATCTGTCTGAGCACTGTAGGCTCGGATACGAGAATATTCTCATCAGGTCGATAGATAGCTTTAGTACCCCGATTGCTTTCTGATTGTCTAACAATATCTGGTTTCAAAGAATTTATTTCTTGCCACACAGCCTGCGTGATAAATTATAATTATCATAAAGTAATTAAGCAGTATTACATATTTTAAATTATCTCTATGATATTATGTAAATTAAATTATCCTTAAATAAAATGAAAGCCAACCTTTTTATTGAACAATGCTAAATTCTTTTCAAAATCAAAGTCTTGCTGTAGAGACTGATCAATTGGGGTACCAAAAGTATGCTCATCTCTTTCCAGTGCTCTTTGCTTATGACTTAATCTTTTAGAAATGGATTTATTGTTAGACGCATTAATCTCAGCTGGAAAATAAAAAAAATGCTAATTATATTAATAATATTAAAAATGTTACATTAATATAATGTATTTATACATGTACAAACATAAATACAAAAATTACATAATACAGCAATGTACCTGAAGCAATCTTCCCATTTGGAGTTGACTCTGCTTGCTGCTGGTTAGACTCCACAAGTTTCTTTAAATTCATTTGTGTTTGACAATTTGTCGGTTGCAACATAGGAACACATTCTGAAATCGACCGCCCAGCCCTTTTCGCAATTGGCCTCTTTACAATCACCTTACTCTGTGATTGCATATCATTCACATTAGGCCCTGCTTCTTCAGTTGATATAATCTCAAGCTTCTGTATATCTTTTACACTATAATGAAAATGATTACACTTAATACATGTACTTACGTTAATAATATATTACAATCAATAAAGATTCAATTGTACATGTACATCTGTACAAAGGATTTATAATTATTCTGTACTATTATTGTATAATATATAAAATAAACAGCACAAACTTACCTTAAATTAACAATGGATGAAGTATGTGGTATGCCATTGCAAAATGCTTTCGCCAGTGTCATGCTATTTTTATTTAAATCAATAATTTTGCCTTGATAAGTAAGATCGTCAATGCATTTTACAGAAACTGTACAACCCAAAAACTGCTCAGACATTTTTATCTGTAACTACATGCAAAAAATATTGAAATTAATCTATACATTTTTCATATTTATTACACAATTAGCACAAATTGTGTCTCAATTCTAATATCAATATTCAAATAAAAAACTTTGACAATTTGTCAATAATAATATACAAGTATAGAAAGAAAGAGAAATGGTATATTTCATATTAGAAAAATAATTCATTTATCTTCCGATGATTTGTAAATTAATTGATACAAATATACTATAATTGTAACAAAAATTAAAATTATAATAAAATTATAATAACGTTCTTTTCCTTCCTTATATAAATTGGGTGCCTTAGATTTATAATTTACATTATTTAACACATTACACCTGAATCTGTATTCTATCTTTCTTCTGCTTACATTTTATATATATATTTTAAAGTAATAAATTCTTTCAATCATAAAATTTTTGAGAGTTACATAAGTTACAAGTGCAACATATGATGTAAATAAATTAATACATATAAAAACAGAAACACAAATGTATACAAACACAAAATTACCGGTTTTTAATATCGGAAAAAACACGCTTTCAAAACTAATACTTACATTGTAGGTTAACACTGTATAACGTTAGTTGAAAAAAATAGCGAATGTTTACATACCTAAAGGAAAAAGATGGAAATGAAGATGATTAGACAATGAACCAATAAATTACAGCAATTCGTAAAACGGCTTAAATATTGCGTACTAATTTCCGTAGGTCGGTGTGTAAGTACGTGCAACGAATCGCCATATATCCGTGCACACTCACCGTGCTATGATTCGTGTTCGTACTATATATATATATATATATATTGATGCTTTATTTTCGCGATAAAAGCATCGTAAGTAAAAGCAGAGAGAAGCCTGAGAGAGGCCATACCGGCGATTTTCGTGGGACGTTTTAAAAGGTCGTACAGCAGCGCCGTGCATTCACTTTTAGGAATTGGAACTACGTAGCCACATCTATTTACAACCACTTTTCGATTTGTGGTTCGCGTCCGTGCTAAATACATCCACTTTTCGATTAATAGAATCTAAAATTATTTTTAATCCATGTGTCTACATTTTACATTCATAAATTATAGGTAACATATATATATATATATATATATATATATATATATATACATATATATATGTTACCTATAATTTATGAATATAAAATGTGGACACACCCCAGCAAACACATTATATAAATGTTATATACTTAAGCATGTTACATGTAACGTATATGTTAGTTGTAATTTCCCACTCATAGATGTAACATTTTTAATATTACATATATTACATTGTAGTTATATTGTCATTATATCCCAAGATAGCACTGACTTATCAATACATCAATATGCTATTTGGTATATAATTACAATATAATTACAATGTAATATATGTTATATTAAAATGTTACATCTATGAGTGGGAAATTACAACTAACATGAATTTACATGTAACGTACACGTTATATTACCTGTTATATTCCGTTTTATTGTAGCAATGTAACAATTATATATCGGTGTTTGCTGGGATGCATTAAAAATGATTTTAGATTTTATTAATCGAAAAGTGGATGTAAATGGATGTGGCTACGTAGTTCCAATTCCTAAAAGTGGATGCACGGCGCTGCTGTACGACCTTTTAAAGCGTCCCACGAAAATCGCCGGCATGGCCTCTCTCAAGCTTCTCTCTGGTAAAAGTATTTTCGCTGTACAAATAACTATCCAATTTTTTGTTAACAAATTTGTTAATAATTTTAAGCAACAATTAAAATCGTCCCTTCTGAGAGATAAAAAATAAATATATATTATAAAATACAAATATATTTTAAAAATAACGAGGAACTCTCCAATGACAATTAGAATTTCTACTTTATCGACTAAATTGAGTTGTTAGTATATCTAAAGCACAGATTAATAGACAGATCGCCAAAGGCCTGCCTAAAGAAGAGACCGCCATCTTCGTGCGATAGACTTTGCCCCTTACCGACACACTTTGCCCCTGGTTCGAGTCCGTGCTAAATTCGTAGACTTGAACCAAAAGACTTTGCCCCTGGTTCGAGTCCGTGCTAAATTTCGTAGACTCGACCAAAAGACTTTGCCCCTGGTGCAAGTCCAGGCTAAATTCGTTTGACATTACCAACAGACTTTGCCCCTGGTGCGAATCCAGGCTAATTGATCATGAGACCAATTTGAGAGATTTGGCCCCCGTTGTGTGTGTGTGTGTGTGTGTGTGTGTGAGAGAGAGAGAGAGAGAGAGAGAGAGAGAGAGAGAATATTTTACATATATGCATATATATATAAAATTTATTAAATATAAAAAATATATTTTTTACACATAAAATTTTTTTATTGAAATAATCACGATTTTAAATGTGATATAACACAGTGTTCAAAATTTTTTAATTAAATTTTTTAATTAAATTTTATTAAAGAAAATTACTTGAAATTTTTTACATTAAGAATTTAAAGGCTCCTTATTCTCTTGTAGAAATTTATCACTACGCCAATTAATCACTTATTTTGAGTATTTAAAATACTATAATATACAGTAATTTAAGTATTCGAAATAAAAGTGATTAATTACTCGAAATAAGTGATAAATTGGCGTTACTAGTAATAAATTTCTATAAGGGTTGAAATAAAGTATAAGAGATAAATAGGCTATATGTGAGCCGTATGCGAAATGTGAGATGTAAGACGCATATTGAAATTTAATTTTTCGATATAACTTTCAAAAATGTACACGAGGTACAAAAAATTAGCTTGGACATTTGTAAGACTTAAAATTGGGATTAATTCTCAATTCTATTAATTAAATTTCGATATAACACACCTTACATCCGCGCACGGCTCACATATATATAGCCCATTTATTAGTGCAATTTTTAAGTTCCTTATTTTTCAAAGTTCACCTTTTTACGTTATCAAATATTTTTACGTTTTCAAGAATTTTATATTTTTACTTACCGCAGTTTCTTATCCAAATGTAAAATCTTTTATCGCAGTCTATAAAAAATTGAAACAATTTACAATTTTATGATATAATATTATTATTATTACAATTTCTATATATATGCACATCTGTCAAATATCGTGATTTATTTCACATTATTATTATCTATTTTAATAAAAAAAAAAACAAAAACACTTGCAACAATCAAAAATAAACCGCCTGCCGCGAACGGAAAATGCCAAGAAAGCACGCAATTTCCGCGAATCTCGTAATTTTTTGAAAAATCAACAATTTCAACGAAATTGTAAATTCTTCAAATCACTGCACAAGTATAATTCACAATAATAATTTTCAGTAACTACGATAAAAAATCGTATACTGAAAACCGCAAACGAAAGTGCAATGGGAGTAAGAGTAAAGTCTGTGATAAAATTAATTGGCAATAGAAAATTAATAATTTTCAAATAGAAAAATTTTGAAATTACCGAGGATTTACAAATAATAAAGTAAAAATATTAAATAATTTATGTTTTCGAATTTTGCTCGCGGAGAGGATCTTTAAAACAAGATTTTTAGAAGAGAGGACCTTTAAAATATAAACAGGCAAAAACGTTGGAAAAATTAAAGCGCGCGTTTAAACAGATAAACGCAATGAAATAAATACGCAATTGTTTTTACTTATCGCTGTAAGCTCACAAGCTTCTGACGTGCTATACACTTTTATATAATATATACAAGGTGTCCGGTAACTAACGGACCAATGATTAAGGGCGGATTCTCTGGCCAATTTGGAGACGATTTTTCCTTAGCAAAAATGTTGAGAAGTCAATAATTTTCGAGTTATAAGCGATTGAAAAAAATAGGTTTTTTGAAAACTAAACGTTTTGGAGTTAAAAGTCTAACATAATTACATTCTTCAGTTAATTTCAGGTAGAGTTTACTATAATAAAATTTTAATTTAAGGCTTAGTTATAAAGATACATAATGACAAAGATTGGAAAGTTGTAAAAAATGATGACCTTTTTCGACATTTTCGCTGAGGAAAAATCGTTCCCAAATTGACCAAAGAATCCATTTGTAATCATTGGTCTGTTAGTTACCGGACACCCTGTATATTGGACACGAGTTTCGTTTGTTTCAGATTCTCGAGAGTTGAAGTAGGAACATACGAGTATCATATATCGTTTGTGACTTGCCGAATGAAAGCAAGACAGAGAGCGAACGAGATGATGAGCTTAATAGCTCATAATGTTATAAATAAATAAATAAAAAATTATAACCTGACCTACTAGTTATTGAATCTTTTTTTAATAAAATGTTTCATTATTATTATCATCTAAGTCTAAGTCGTTTAATTACTTTTTAGTTTTTTAATAATTAATTTAATTTATTCTAGTCATTTTTATATGAGAAAAATAATATCACGTATACGTTTTATAATGAATTAATATATTTCGGGAACCGAATTATATATTCTTAATAATATAAAAGTGTTCAAAAATATATTTGACTTTTAATTTTAATTATTTTATAGCAAAGAGTTCCGAAATCTCTTACACACATAATGGGGATTTTTTTCATCCATATAATTCGCAATTAAGTATATATGTTAATTATTAATTTTAATAAAATAAAAATTAAAATTAAAGGTCAAATATAATTTTTAAACACAAATATATTAAATTAATTATAAAACGTATACCCATGATAGTATTTTTCTCGTACAAAAATAATTAGAGTAAATTAAATTAATCATAAAAGATTAAAAATTAATTAAAGAATTTAAACTTATATTTTATATAATAATAATAAAACATTTTATTACGTCAAACCGTCGTGAAATAATTAAATAAAATTTGCTAGTTACGTCAAAGTCAAGTTTTCTAAGCTTATAAAACATTTTATTAAAAAACAGATTCAATAAATATAAGTACATGTTATATATATACTTATATTTATTGAATCTGTTTTTTTTATAAAATGTTTTATTATTATCATATATAATATAATTATTTAATTATTTTTAATTTTTTATGAGTAATTTAATTTGTTCTAGTTATTTTTGTACGAGAAAAATACTATCACGGGTATACGTTTTATAACGAATTAAATATATTTATGTTCAAAAATTATATTTGACCTTTAATTTTAATTTTGTATTTTATTAAAATTAATAATTAACATATATACTTAATTGCGAATTATATGGATGAACAAAATCCCTATTATGTGTGTAAGAGATTTCGGAACTCTTTGCTAAAATAATTAAAATTAAAAGTCAAATATAATTTTTGAACACTTTTATATTATTAAAAATATATAATTCGACTCTCGAAATATATTAATTCATTATAAAACGTATACGTATTAGTATTTTTCACATATTAAAATGATTAGAATAAATTAAATTAATTATTAAAAAACTAAAAATTAATTAAACGACTTAGACTTAGATGATAATAATAATGAAACATTTATTAAAAAATAATTATAATAGGTCAGGTTAATATTTTATTATTTATTTATTTATAACATCATAAAATTCTGTCCTTTCCGAAATACGCGAACGCTACGAAAAGATAAATCTCGTACATGCCGCCGGACGAGTTCATGAGCATGAGACGCTCTTATCTTGGGAACGTATTAATAGTTACTGCATTGACCACTACTACGATATGGCGCTGAAATCAGTGAGAAATGCTGGTCTCTCCTTCATCCAGACCTTTGGCGATCTGTCTATTAATCTGTGTCTAAAGCCACCGCAAGACGGTACGAGTATAAATTTACGCACATTTTCGACCTGACCATATATACAGGGTTGTTCGTAAGATTGCCTCAACCGTCGTGTGCAGGTAGAGAAGTTATAACGAATAGAAAGTCCTCTAACCGTTTGCGATTTTCGCC